TCTTTAAAATGCCCAATTTTCAGTCATATATAAACAGGACACAGTTGCTGTTCACTTATAAATTGCATTTGACAAATGATTCTAACAGTTTAGATATGCTGATTCCAGAATCTAAGACATGGAAAGGAAAAATAACCATATACCTGATCAACAACATACTTTAGCAATAGCATATTTAATTCAAATGTTAAGGTCATTCCTTTGAAAGAGATTAAATCTGAGGTATATTTTCAAAAATTATGTCTAACATAGAGATCATTCCTGTATCTGAAAGACCATTTGCGTCACTTCCTTTGAAGAGTGATTTTAAATAACGACCAGTTGATTTCAGTGCTGAGGGTTGCAGCAAAGGGTTCTTGAGGCTCTGCCCTGATTATGTCTTTTTAAAGGCAAATGTTCGGTTTTAGCAGTAGGAAAGTAATTCTCCTCAAAATATCATTAAAAACATAATGGAAAGAGGTAGAATGGAAAGAACTACCAATAGTGGTGCTAGATTTACAAAATAGAATAAGCCCTCTTTTAAAATCTAATACCTTATCACCAAGTCAGTTCTGCTCCAGACAGATTTTTTCTTTTGGTTGATATTTTGGAGCATTATTTGTCACTGCTAATTAAATACAGTACTTCTCCACTTTATGCCACAATAACAGGGATGCTACTCCATTTAGATGTTCAGATAAATCACCTCATCAAAGCATAAGTTTGGAGCTGACTCATTTAACTATACTTGGCTTTCATTTACTAGGTTGGCGTAGTGACTGATTTTTCCTTTGAGATAGTGACTGAGGGAAGCCAATCTTGTGCATAGGCAGATCCTTAGTGATATGATTTCAAGAGTATTTAAAAAGCATTTTTAATCCCAAAATATATTATCTGTCTTTTTAATGATGCCAAAGTTATTTTAAGCAAAATGGTGGAAATTATCTTCCTAGAGTTGTAAGTAAAATCTTGGGAGAATTTAACAATGACAAATGACACTATATATTGATCATAGGGCACAGAGAGAAGCTGCAAACAAAAATGGTAGATATATACCAGAGGATTCGGGTGAAGCAAATGGATTACCATGAGACGGGAACTTGGCCTTCAGATGTTCCCCAGTATGGAGCTGGTCCCTAAGAGAAGAAGCAGGGAGTCGCTGGGCGTGGCTGGGAAAGAGAAATGGCTCCTCTATTGGACCATCTAGGTTCCCATTTGCTATCCTTTACAACTTTCTACAAAAGAAAAAAAAAAAAATCCAGGTTTGGTCCCTGGAAACCACATTGGGGAAATTGACCATGTGAGGATTTGTGTCCCCATAAAAAGAAATTATAGGAAAAAATGTTCTGATCCTGAGGCCTTTCTAATTCAACATGCCTATGAGACCACTTTTTCCTGAGCTCTTATGTCACAGTCATGGTGTGCTCATGAGAAGACATTATAGTTCACAGTGACTAACAATGCCATCAAGAGTCACATGCAACAGAGTTTAAAAGACATAGAACATGAGAACCGAGATATGGAATGACACCATTTTATTAAAAGATGGGAGCCTCTTAAATGTAACCACGCATCATTTATAAAGCTGCCAATATCGCAAACAGATGGATATACTACTTAATGCTAAAATTACATGACAATTCTGTTACCCGTGCAAGCTTCAAATTTCTTAGTACTATATTTTTCTTTTGGTCTAAGACTGTCAGAAAAAAAATTAAGTAAATATGATACACCCGGGGACCTATAATTTTAACCACTTTTATGCTAGACTGTCACACAGCCCAAGTCTCAGGGGGCAGCTGACTGATCTACAATAATGTCTATGAGATGCTGCTGTACTCAACACCTCTATCTCAATGCAATACACTATTCTTCATAGAAGTCACAATCATCAGCTCTCCTCCCAGATACTATTTGTGCAAATACTGACTGAAAAGAAAAGCACAGGTAAGGCTGATTTTTCCAGACATGTATGCTATATTCTAAAGGTGTAGGGCAGAAATAAATGCTCAAGCTAAAATTTCACAGACTTCTTAGCTTAAGCAGACTTTTGGCCAAGTGACCTTCTGTTTTCATCACCCATCAATGTGAGCCAACCATGAATGTATATTAGATGAACCTTTCCACCTGCAAGTCAGTTCTTATAGACACTATATAATTTTTAAATTTTCCAAAAGTCTAAAGGGAAAAGGGACGTACACTGTACAAGCATCATTTCATCTTCAAATATTTCTTCTACAGGAAAAACTCTTACTGGAAGCCTGTAGCTACAGCTACTTCCAAAATCTATGTTTGATAGAACAGCTAATAGGAATTTTAAATTGGATATTATTCTCAAAATTTCCCCTCCAACTTACATAACATCCTTTTCTGGTAACAGAAAAAGGTGGCTAGTGGGGATCCCCCCATGTCCACTTTGAAGTACTACACTTTACTCTGTACTATCCTTTCCTTTTCACACTTAGGGGTATGATTCCAGTCACTCTTCGGTTCATTTGCTAACTGTAGCAAAAGCAAGGGCTATCCCACATTTTGGTGTTTTAACTGGGATTTCTATACTGGCACCTTACAAAGGATATGGAAATCAGAAAAAGTAAACACTGCTTTGTATCCTCCCTTGGTCTTCCCTCTTAATCTGACAATTGCACCCTCCACACCAGCCCCCCGAGGCTCACTAACAAGCTCTCTAGCAGCCGGTGAGGGAAAGGACCTTGGCCAGCCGACTTTGGGTTGGTCTGGGTTGCCATCATACTGGCTGGTGCTTCTAAAGATTTCCATGACCTCCGAAAAGCACCAGACTGTTCTTAGGAAGACTGCAAAAACCGCTTTTACTAAAGTAAGGGCTAGTTGGAATCAATTTATTTTCCAAAATTAATTCTAAAATTCCACGGACAAGGCTGCCACCATGCCACAAGAAAGTTGTAAAAGCACTGTTATAACCTCTAGGGAATCATTTATTTAGGCAATGTATTTTAGACCAGATACGAAGGTTTGTCTTAAAAAAACCCAGAAAAGTCTTAGGATTCTTGTAATTTTCATATGCATGTCTATCTGAACTGCCAGCGCCCTGTGGATAACCTTCTGCCGTGTCAATACCTGTTAGTCTGTTAAAGAAATCATGCCATGAGCTTGCTAGGCGATGTTTTCTATTTGGCTGGACATGTATTTTGCGTTGAAATTCTAATTAAACAGTTCCTGTCACACTGCTTAAAAGCTCCATAGAAGTGCAGAAAATGGACAAAATTTGTATTTTGTCCGTATACTCAACTCAGCTTAAAATATTAAAAAATACATGTACTATATGAAATTTTATTTCTTGGAGCTAAATTTTAGTTCCTCGGTAACGTTTAACCTAGATGAAAAACTGCTTAAAGATCCCTTTCTGAAGGGATCCCCTTTTATAGAGGCTTCCAGCCCCTACCTGGAAAATAAAGCCGTGCAGAAAAAAGACGAAGTCATTAATAAACATCACAAAGACAATGCTAACACCACCGTCCACCATGATAAAAGTAAAAGAGGAATCAGAGAAATCATCCATTACTGACAGTTTAAAGACACCTGAAGGGGTACAGAGTTGGAAGCAGCCTCTCCGTTTCAGGAGGGCTGCTCGGACCGGGCCTCCCACCTGGGAGCCGCGGGAACTTTGCGGACAGGCAGGTGGCGCGGGGCAGCCGCGGGCCGGGGCGCTTCGATATGCCGCCAGCCGCCCGCGGAGCCCAGGGACAGCCTCAACGCCGCCGGGACCCCCGGGGGACACCGAGAGCCGGACAAAGGTCTGAAGCCCAAGGAATGAGGTTGAGGACACTAGATGTGCGGGATCATTCAGCGTCCGCTCTAAGAACGAGCAGCGAAGGGGAAGACGCCGGTCCCCAAGGACTCCCTGGCGCGGGCCCCGGCGGGAGCGCTTTCGGAGATCTGTTAGGGGAGTGTGCAGGGGTGGAGAACGCATCCCAACTCGGCCTCCATTCTCGCTAACTTTGCTCCCTCTCCACGGAGCGCAGCGCAGAGGTGAGAGCTGTCACGTTTCGGGTCTCCAGGGCCCCTGAGGGGGAGGCGGAGGCGGAGGAGGAGAGAAAGGAAAGCTGCGCCCGGGGCGCACGGGGCGGCGAGCGCGCGGGGAGCTCAGTACCTACCATGGTATTCCTGTCCCGGCACGTAGTAGGTGGGGTTGCCCGCAATGTGCAGGGAAATGAGCACCTCGCCCTGCTCCCCGTCCCCTTCCAGCTCCCCGTGGTGGGTGCACAGGAAAAAGAAGGGCGAGAAGCGCGGGTAGTGGCCGCCCGCGGCGCGCGCCCTCAGCGCGGCGCCCAGCAGCAGCAGGGCCAGGAGGAAAGTGCGCGGCGCCCGGGCGCTGCGCCCCATGCTGCCGCCGCCAAGCGCCCCGCGCACCGCTCGCGCACGCAGGGTGGCGGCGCCGGACGGAGCGGGCGGAGCGGGCTTGTAGCGGCCCCGCCGGGAAGTTCACGGGAGATGGCGGCTCCCGAAGTTACTTCGGGCCGCGGGTACCGAGAGCAAGTGCGTCGTCCACAGCTCCGCGCCGCCACCGCCTGCGCGCGACGCTCCTCAGCCGGGCCTGGGAAAGCGCCCGCCCCTCCGCACCGTCTTAAAGCCCCGGGCGCCGCGTCCCCCCCCCCCTCCCCGCGCGCCGCCACACGTGTCCCGGCCGCGCCCCCGCCCGCGCGCCCCGCCCTCGGCTCGCGGCAGCGGCGGCTCCCGGCACAGGCGGGGCGCGCGCTCCCCGAGCCCCAGCCGGCCGAGCCCCAGCTGGCAGAGCCCCGCGAGCGCCCGAGGCCGTGGGCGCGGCGCTGGCGGGACCCGGCCTCGCGTCGGCGGGGCGGGACGCGGAGCCCCTGGTACCGGAGCCTCCAGCCCGGCTGTCCAAGGGAGACGCCGGCCCGGGTCGTCCCCTCTCTCCCAGGAGGACGAGCGGGGAAGGCATGGCGCGGGTCCTTTGTCTGCGCCCTGCGTCCCCGAGGCTGCACGAGCCCCGCGTCGCCATCTCCGGGCCCGCGTCTCTCCCGCCCCGCGCATCGCCGCGGCCCAGAGCCGCCTCTGTAGCCGGATTTGAAAGGAGATTAAGCGAAAGTGGAATTGGCAGCCTCGCGTGGTGCCTGGAAATGGTGATTTGTGGGGTTCGGGTGTGGGAAACTGTGAGGCTGGAAGAGCTGGCCAGCCGAGACCCGACAGCCGCCAGCCAGTTCTGTTTTTCACTGCGACCGGGTGTAGTGATTTTTAAAGTCCATGTTTATTTCCTTTAAATGTCAGTTATGACTGGGGTCCCCGAGATGGGTGAGAAGAAGGCGTCGCGGCGCTGCGGGCGGCGGGGATGGAGCGCTGGTACCGAGCTGCTGCGCGAGGCTGCGGGGAGGCGAAGCCATCCGTCAGCACCATTCTCACCGCCGACGCCGGCAGGTCCCGCGCATCCGGAAGCGGGGAGCGGGCTGCCAGCTTCTAATGCCTCTCCCCACCCACCCCGGGCTTGCAGCGAGATAAGTCCTCGCGCAGAGTGAGGAGACTATGAGGTGGAAGGGGCCCTGTCTCCCTGCATCTGGGCCTGTGAAAGAGTCAGGGTCCAAGTACCTCTGTACTCATTTCCTTGCAAAAGGAAGAGATTGCTTTTCTTCCCCTTGCCCAGGCCCAGGTTAGACAGGTAGAAGGGGCCCACTTCTAGGTGCCTCCTGGTCCCCCTTACTAAGTCCCCCGGACTCAACTGCCATAGATACCGTGTACACAGATGGGACCTGTAATAAGCATCATTACACTAGCTCCGTGCTGGGGACAGGCTGTAGACTGTAGATCTTGAATCTCGTTTAATCCTGACACCACCTGGAAAGGCAAGGAAGGAAACAGAAATGTTAATAACTTGTCCAAAATCAGTGGCAACGTCTGGGTGCAAGGCAGCCTGGCTGGTTCCAAAGGCTCTCGCCCTGCAACTGTCTGCCACCATAGCTCCAGGGGAGGCAGCTACCACCACCTGTTGGTGGCAGGGCTCTGGCCGACCTTTCCTGACAGGAATCCTAAAGTCTTTGAGGCTGCACCATTCAGTATGGTGGGCCCTAGCCACAGGGAGATCCTTATATGAAAAGTTCCTCAGTCTCAGCCGCATTTCGAGTATCTAGTAGTCACATGTGGCTAGCAGGTGCTGTATTAGACTATTTCCATCGCTACAAAAAAAAAAAAAAAAAGGCACCGCACTGTTCCATAAGAAAAGATGAATGAATGCTGGGTAACTAATGCATTCAATCAGTCAGTCAGTCAATACTTATCAAACACCATCTGTGTGGTAACCTGCTGGATGCAGTGGACAGAGCCATGAAGAAAGTAACAAAGCGCTTTCCCTGTAGAGTTTACAATCTAGTGTTGGGGACACAGCAAATGCATACACCAGACAGATCCTTGGACAATGACAGATACTATGGCAAAATAGGATGATTTGGAGAGGATGATGCAGAGGGGAAGGTTACTTTAGATCAGAGAATGAAGAAAAGTTTCTCTGGAAGAGCTCACCCTGCACACACGGAGGCCCTAAAGCAGTACCATTCCTGCAGTGTTCAAGGCCCAAAAAGGGCAGCAGGAAGAGGGAAGAGTGGTATGGAATGCACCCAGAGAAGCAGCACATAGGTGAAGGGGAGATTTGGGTCGGGGGTGACATAATCAGAATGAATTGAAGAATAGAAGGTCAGAATGTAAAAAAAAAAAAAGAAAGAATTTTCTAATACATTTAATACAGGGTTTAAATAAATACCCCACATAATGTTTTAATGCAATTGTCTACAGAACAGTTTCTAGTTTTGTATCAAAGTACATCTACTCATTCCTTTACCCAACAAATATCAACTCATTAACTATGAGATGGAAAGCATTATGTTAGGCACTGGAGAAATACAGTTTGTACTCCACAGAGCTAACCTTTCAGTGGAAGAAAGAGACATCAACACCAGTTACTCTGATCGATTGTGGAGGTATAAAAGAGGTATGTGCTCTAAAGGGAAATAAAAAGTGGCAGGAAAAATAGAACAGTAAGGTTTAATGGAGGAAGAGGCTAAGATCTAGGAAAATTTAGTTGGGTAAAAGTGGTGGGGATAAGATGCAAAAGCTATTCCAGGCTAAAAGATTCTCAATGGAGAACAAAGTGGTAGATTCAGGGCCCACGAAGGATGAGTGCAGGTGGGAACCAGCCCAGCCAAGCTGCTAGCATGCATACTGCCAGACTGCCAGGACCTTGTCTGCACAGTACAGATTTTGGCCTGTTTCCTAGAAACAGTGGCGATGCATGGAAGAGATTTGAAGCAAATAGGTATCACGGTCATATTCCCACATTGGGAAGATGGTCTTGGTTATAGAGGGGAGGGCATGTCAAGCAGTGAAAGTAGATACAGCGAAAGGATCAGGACATGGTTTGAGCAGCTCCTGTGAGAGATGACAGTCTGGAGAGGAGATGAAGAGGGAGAATGGAACTGAGATGTATTAGAAGCGGGAACGACAAGACTGGGTGACTGGCGGGACACAGACATAAAAGGGCATATTTTAAAGATGGTGCACAACCTTCAGGCTTTTGCAGCTTGATAAATTGTTGCTGGTGGATAAACAGGTTTTTTGTAAAATACTTTTATTAAGTAAACTTTTTAATGAAGCATAACGTGTCCACAAAAGGCAAACAAGTTGGAAGTGTAAAGCACTATGCAATGGAGCATCCTGTGTAAGCACCACCCAGGGGACATTAGGCAGAAGTCCCCAGGGCCCCTTTCAACATGCCAGAGGGATGGAAGGGGTTTTAAGCAGAGATATAACAGGTCTTCTAGATGGTTATCGTTGCCTGTTTTCAAAGGCAGGATATCAATTTCACATTTGGCTTGACTCAAAATGGTGGTTGAAAGAATCATTTATATTATTGCATATAGCAAGAGTGTGTTCATTCTCACTGCTCTGCAAACAAGAAACTATCATTATCCATAATTAATAGGTATTTAGCTATTTTCAATTTGGAAATATTTTCCAATTTTGTTGCTGTTCAGCTGTGGACAATGCAGTTAAACATACACTTGCACGTGTCTTTGGGGGAACGTATGAGTACATTTCAGTCAGGAGGTGGAGTGTTAGGTCATGGGGTGGAAGGAACCTCTTTCAAGACACCAGTTTAGCAGAACTTATAAGAAGTAAAGAGAATTCCTTCGAAGTCAAGACTGAAGTGAAAGCAGGAATCCAGAGATAAGCAGTGAGTGTCCAGCCCACCCAGCACTCTGAGACTGCCCATTCCCAAAGTCCTTGGATTTCCCCTTTGATGGCCATGTGCCGTGTGGGGACAGGAGATAAAGTAGAGGACCTCTGCCGGGTGAGAGGAAGGATATGACTGTGCTGCTCAAGTGTAGTTTGCAGATTAGTTTACAAACTATCTAGTGCCAGTCCATGTTGAGAAACGTACAGAAACTGAGGGTTTAGAAATATTTATAGCAATTTTATTGTGTACTGACTTTCAAGTGACTTCCATTTTTCTAGTAATTCATTTTTATTTTACTTTACAAAAGTATCTGTCTCTGATAAAGTACAAACAGATAATTTACAAAACACCCTCATGGGAAATTTATGCATAGAACCATGACTTATCTGCCAATAGCTAGACCCTCAATGGAAAGGAAAACAAGAAAAAATGTATAATATTTATATAATAAATAATTTATATATTTTATAATTTATGTTATAAACATATATCCTTCATTTATCTGATTATTGACAGAGAATAGTGATGACAGGGGAACTGTCTCACCAAAATTTAAAATTACAATCTGGCTTTCAAGAGTTTCTTACCCAAATTCACACTTCTATTTAATTTAAAAACCTCATGCCCTGAATTAATTTTAAAGTGGTCCTGGTTTAAAAATGGTCCCATGTGCCTAGAAGAACCCAACCCAAATCATTTCTCAGAAGGAAAAACCAAACATAAACTCATTTAAGTCAAGCTTCAAAGAATTTTGGCAAATAAGGCTCATGGAGCACATGTTCATAATGAAAAAATCATTGGTTCTGTGAGAAAGAGGAAGCTAGTGAATGGTCATAAACAATAGACTACCAGCCTCAGATGCACAAAAAACATTTGGATATTGAAATTATCAGCTCTACAGTATAAGATATGCATATTTTTAAATTTAGAAAATTTAATATGGAACCATCAAGTGTGATGAAGTATTCTCAAAGTAAAAAATATGGTAAGTGAAATTTAAAATCCAGCAACAGAATTACTTATATTTGCTTCTGATGGTATGAAATACTAGATATTCAAGGAGACTTTTTTCTTGTAAAATAAGTGGATCTAATATAAAACTTAATTTTCTAAGATTTGGGGGCTTATAGAAAGTCAAGGAGATCACTAAGAAACTAGGATATTTTAAAAACAGGAACTAGCTACTAATACCTAATTTGTAGGACCTAGTACAAGATGTAAATGTGCAGGCCCTTGTGCAAATTGTAAGAAACCGATTCCACTAACATATATGTTAGAAGAAGCTCTAACATATATGTTAGAAGAAGGGAAGCTGGACTAGTGCATGCAGTGAGTACATAAGAATGTGGCTTCTCAATGATATGGGAACTCAATATGTGGCAGCTGGCACTGCAGATCAAAAGAGGAAACAACAGAATATTGAACAGAAAAATTCAATATATGTTCTGAGACAATTGGTAGTCATATTAAACATTATAAAATTGGATCCTTGACTTCCAATTAGAGCCTAAGTATGGGGCCTTCCACTTGTATTGAACTTCCTGTAAGGCCCTGAGAGGGATCTAGAAGTTCACAGGTGTTCTGTAAAATTTGAAAAGATATTTTAACTATGCTCTCCCTTTTTGTTATTGTTTATTTACTGTGATTGTTGTATTTGTTTTTTGTTTGGGTTTTTTTTTAACTGCTAAGGATTCAACCCAGGTTCTCATACTTTCTAGGCAAGCACTCTACTATTGAGCTACATCCCCAGCCCTTTTTATTTATTTATTTTTTTGAGTCAAGGTCTCACTAAATTACCCAGGCTAGCCTCAAATGTGTAATCTTCCTGACTCAGCCTCCAGAGTAAATGGTATTATAAGCATGCACCATCATGCCCAGCTTGCTTTGTATTCTAACTAGTACTCCATTACATTTCTTTGTGTAGACTGCCATTAGAGTGACTCTGAACTGGGATTTTGTTTTGTTTTGTTTATTTTGTTTTGTTTTTGACATGACTAAAGTGATGGTGATGGTGTGAAAGGGAAAGGGCCAGAAGCTCATCTGTGGGAAATTCTTCTAAGGTAACACAAAATGTCATGTAAGTTCTTATCAGTCAGGGATATACAACGTAATGCAATACTTGCAGTTATAACTATATTACATTTTATGGTATCACCTGAAATATAATTCCACTGAAGCAGATTTCCTGTATTTAAAAGGCACAAACCTATAGGATCAATACAAACTGCCAGTGCAGCTGTAAGTGAAGTCTCAGGTGTCATGATTACCAATCTAATGAAGCACATATTTAGTACATCTGGTATACCTTGCTCTGATAGTCTGATGGTTCCAGGCAAATGGCACACAACATTGCCACCAATGCAGTAAGTGGCCTGAAGGACATGTTCCAGAGGCAAATCTCCCACACATATTCATCAGTACAACTACGTATGTAGTAAGTAGTATGTTGTAAGTATGAACAGTTTGATGGTGCTATATTTGACTATTGGGTGGAGGATGCTTTTCTGAACATTTCATATAAATGGATTCATAAAATATGTGGTCTTTTATATTTGACTTCATTCAGCACATTTTTGAAGTTCATCCACATTGTAGCACGTTCCAGTAG